GCGAAGAAGATCTTGGAGGTGCTAGTGTAGGAGTTACGGATGAGATGGCAGGCGTAAACTTAACAGCAAATACTGCACCTAGTGGTTCAGGAAGCCATGGGAAGAGGAAGAGAGGTGAAGGGTCTAGCAGGCAAACAAAGCAAAAACTTCCAGCCTCAAGACAAATAGCGGATTCAGTTAGTGAAATAGCTACTGCATCTAAGGATAGAGCTGCAACTCTTAAGAAAATAAAAGAGGTATCAATTTCTGAGGTTACGGCCGAAGTGCTCTGCCTTGAGGAAATTACAAGTGACTCTGATTTCCAGAACCGATGCTTAAGACTTCTGTTGCACAAGAGTGTTCGGGAAATGGTTGTTTCACTAAAAGGACAGCCAGAATACTTGGTTGCATGGCTACAGGATATGGCATACAATCCACCATCATGGCTGAAACCCCGCCTGCTTGAACTATATTTTAGGACGCATGTTATGATTTTATTTTGTCTAACTCTGACCAGAGTTGTTATTATATGTTTTTAAGTTAATGTTTGTGGAACTATAAAATTATGTAACTTGTTAACTGACTATGAATGTTTTGAATGTTTTTAAGTTACATGTGTTATTTATAATGGTAATTGCAGCTTATGAATGTTTTTAGACTAATTTTTATGTCTTTGCATGTTTAACAGAAAGAAATATTTATTTGCACATACCTAAAAATATTTATTTGTCGTTTAAAAAAATTCTTACAGTTGAATTTAACCACACTCACAGGTGACATTATCTATGGCAAATTGGAACAATCAATTTACGTTTGAGTGGATGGAGGAAGATGAACAGTCTGAAGAGGAGTCGGAGGAAGATGAACAGTCTCCATTGATTTCCCTTTTAGATGAAGAGATAACACAATATGAAGAGGTAGCTGTATTGGTGAGTCAATATGTGATGCCTTATGTGTGCAAAGAGCCACGAAGAACTAGTCAGCAAACAGGTAATTTATGGGTGCAAGAAATTTTGCGAGATCATGAAATTCGGTGTTATGACATGTTTCGAATGGAAAAAGAAATGTTCATGCGATTATGCTCTAAACTGGTCGAACATGGTTTAAAAAATTCTAAGTATCTGGGAGCGGAAGAAATTGTTGGTATGTTTTTGAACACGGTTGGTCATGGACAATGTAATAGGATGATTCAAGAAAGGTTTCAACATTCAAGAGAAACTGTAAGCAAGCATTTTCATAGAGTATTACAGGCTTGCCTTAGTCTATCCAGGGAATATATCAAACCACTCGATCCTACGTTTTCTGTAACTCACCCAAAAATAAAAAACGATAAACGATATTCGCCATATTTCAATGATGCAATAGGAGCAATTGATGGCACTCATGTACGATGTGTGGTGAGTCTTTCGAAGCAAGACAAATATATCGGGAGAAAGGGATATCCGACACAGAATGTCATGGCTGTATGTGACTGGGACATGTGCTTCACTTTTGTGTTAGCGGGATGGGAAGGTACTGCACATGATGCTCGTGTGTTTAACACTGCTGTCTCAACTCCAGCCTTGGATTTCCCTCATCCACCTCCAGGTATATTTTCAGTAGCTTCAATTTTAATTATATCGAATTCATTTGATATTTTCATTAATTTCACAATGTCAACATAATTTCATGATTTATTAGGGAAGTATTATTTGGTCGATGCTGGCTATCCAACTCCACCAAGATATCTTGGTCCGTACAGATGTGAGCGCTATCACCTTCCAGACTTTAGGCGACAATCGGGGTTTGAAAATTATAACGAAGTCTTCAATTACTACCATTCAAGTTTGAGGTGCACTATAGAAAGGACTTTTGGGGTGTGGAAGAATAAGTTTCGCATCTTAGATAAGATTAGGGTTGTTCACGGGACGGATCGGGACCGGGACAGGACTCGTCCCGGTTCCGTCCCGATGAACAGTAACGGGACAGAAAATCTGTCCGTGTCCCGGCCCGTCCCGGGGTTGTCCCAATCCCGGTCGGACGGGATGGATCGGGGCGAGACCGGGACGTCCCGAACCTCTTTTTTTTTTTTTTTTTTTTTTTTAATTTTTTAATTTTTTATTAATTTTTTTAAATAAAATCTGATTTTTTTAATTATGTTTTTTTGGGCTTAAACCTTATAAAAACATCTTTTTATTTTCTTTTTTATTTGTTTGGGCACTCTTAAACAAAAACTCAAAATATTACATATAATAATCATTAAAAACTCTAAATAAAAGCTTTTAACACAATAAAAACTTGCTAAAAATTCTAATCATCAATAATCTCAAATCATTAACAAATATAAAAACTCTAAATAAATATATCCATAGTTCCATACAATAGTCTCAAATCTTAAAAAAATATGAAAAAAATAATATTATATAAATGGGATAAAAAAAAAAAAAAAAGGACCGGGACGGGACGATCCGTCCTGTGTCTCGTCCCGTCCCGGTCCATTTTTTGTCCCGTCCCGAAAAATTTCGGGACGGATCCGTCCCGTCCCAATAAGACCGGGGACGAATCCTTCTTGAACACCCCTAGATAAGATGCCAAGTTACAAGTATAAAACTCAAGTCCAAGTAGTTTGTGCTACAATTGCTATACATAATTTCCTCCGAAGAAATTCTGAAACTGATAGAGATTTCATAGAAGCTCAATCTGAAGGTACAATTGACGAAGACAATCATGATGAAGCTGGTGAGACATCCTCTTCAAATTTACCTAGATCAAGACAAATGAATCATGTGCATGACACAATCAGAGACCAAATTGTATTGAGCATGGCATCCAATTAGTTATTTGATGTATTTAGTTTAAAAATGCTACGTATGTATGACCTCTAATTTACATATTTATCCATTACATATATTTAATTAAGTTTTTTATTATTTTTCAATTTCCTTCTAGTAATAACTTAATTTTTTTTATTTTTAATAAATTTTTTTCAATACTTCTTTTAAAATGGTCACTTATATATATAATTTCTTTATAACAATAAATTAAATTTCCTTATTTTTAATAATTTTATTTTCATTACTTTATTTATGACAAATAGTCACATTATATATATAATTTCTTTATAATACTAAATTAAATTTCTTTACTTTTAATAATTTTTATTTTCCTTACTTCTTCACTTTTAATAATTAAATATCTAATATTAGATATGTGCTATTTAATAGAATTCATATCCTTTTAAGTCATTTTACATTCAAACTTACTTTTACATTTATCATCCAAACAAGTTTCAATTTCTCAAACTGACTTTTTTCTAAAATCCAATCCAAACATAAATCACATTACCCAATCTGACTTTTACTCAATCTGACTTTTGGAAAAGTCATATTGAAAAAAAAGTTATTTCTCCACCGCCAATCCAAACACACCCATAGTTAGCCTCTCCAAAATGCAATTAGCTTCCGTAACGTGCAAAGTTGGTCCAGATATATAATTGCTTTCTCAAATATGTACTTAACTTTTCAACAATACAATTAGCTTTCCTAATGTAAAAGTACTTTTTGCTAACATGCAATTATCTTTTGCAAGAGTAATTTGGTTTTTCTCCCATGCCTTTATTTACACTAAAAGACCTCACGCATTTTCGTGATGTCAGATCCCATTCTCTATGTAAATTTTTCAACTTGAGTTATGACCAATTTTTCTTGTATCTTACATAAAACCTCGTTTGATTTTTATTTTGATCCTAAGGGTGTGTTTGGATGAAACCAAACCGTGGTTTGGAAAAGTGATTCTGGAGAATAGATTCTGGGAAGAATAGATTCTGGAAAGAATAGATTTCATGAAAAAGTGATTTTGAGAAGTGAGAGTGTTTGGATAGTTGTTATCAGAAACACTTTTTATATATACAAATTACTAAAAAAAATACATAAGTTAATATGATAATTACAGAAAAATAGATTTTATGATATATTTTAATTTGAAGGAATAAAATTGTTAATAATATATTTTTTATTAACATAATTAATAATACATAAGATAATATAATTAATAATTAATTAATATGTATATATATTTATAAAATACAAGATTAAATATGTTTATAAAAAATGTGTATAAAAAAAAACAAGATACATATCCTATAGGCTCTCACACTCTCCCTCTTTTCTCCAAAAGTAAAAATTTTTGCTTTTTCCAAAACCATGGTTTTGGTTTTTGGGTGGGTGTTTGGGTTGGTTTGGGGTGTCACTCAAACACACCCTAAATATGAGACCTCAATTTATTTTATCTCTAATATTTATACATTTTTTCCAAGATAGTCCTTTTAATAATGATAGTTCTAACCAATAGTATTTGATTAGCAATGATATTTTAGAAAAGACAACACATCTTTATTACTAATAACTAATTACTTATTCGGTCCTTAATATAGAACCCAATTGTTGAGTTAGTTTTAGTCCTAAATATAAGACCCATTTCTCATATTTATCAATTTTCTCTAAATTACCCCTATGGATACTCCCTCAACCATAATCAAGTAGAAGAGGGAGATGGGATATTAAAAAAGATGATTATGGTGTTTTAAGAAAAACGTATCACATTTCTTATAATTAACTAACTTACGTAACTTCCTTAATCTAATCAAAGTTAGTTAAATGGGTGTTATATTAAAACTGGAGGAGTAGCTTCTTTCCTTAATCTCCTCAAATTAGTCAATTGGTTTTTATAATTAGGACTGGAGGTAGTATTAACTCTATCTTAAAATTTAATAATTTTTTAATTATTTCTATCTAATATATATACTTTCTGTAAATAGAACAATGAGTTAAGAATAAAATTATATATTCATATAATAAATTTAATAAAGTGAATTATATTGGAAAAGAATTTGATAGGGAAAAAAATTCCAATTAAATTGTGTAATTTTTTTTTAGCTGAATTAAATTGTGTAATTAAAAAAAAAAAAAAAAAGCACCAGGGTAAGGCTTTGAGGCTAAGGCTCGGTCGCTTGCCCAAATTCCATCCCCTTGTCTCGTTCAGTATCATCACTCCCCAGCATCCATTTTGGTCAGAAATGTGTAAGCTTCGAAGTTGAAAATCGAGAATTTCAGAAATCTCCAAGGCGGAGATGGATCATATCTGTTAGTATCATGCGAGTGGACTTGAAAGGGGAACGATATGAAGAAGGAATAAGGCCCTTTGGCTATGAAAACTGTTACATCATCTTCATTGTCGTTGATTTCCCAGCCATGCGCCGGAAGTAGCCCCTGCTATTACAGTGCTTCATATTCTTCCTCTTTTACAGCCGCCGCTGCTACTTCTCCTTACAGGACCATTGTCGCCAAAAGCAAGAAGCACCATGAGGCTTCTAAGGTATTTTTTTCCTCCCCCCAGTGTCCTAAGTTTCGCTTTTTCTTTTTTTGGTTTAATTCTATGTTTCGCTTCTGGTTTAATGTACGATCGTTTTATCTTATCCTTAATTAATCAATTCATAGCAACTTTGGTTGTGTAAATATTCTTGAGTTACTGTTCATGCTGATAACCATGGGAACGAATTTGTGTTGGTAAATGATCGGGATGTTGACTGACAGAAGGGAGGTTAATGTAGTCAAAGATGTTATCGTAATGTATAAAATTATGAATGAATAAAATTTTAGCATGATTTGCAAGTTGGTTGTTGTCTTTGATCCTCTCTCTAGTTGTCACTGAACCAGTCATCTACCCATTTGGTTGGATAGTTCCAGAATTTCTAATGTTGTCGGCCTGGCATAAAGTATTCTCTCATTGATTGCACACAAGGATCTCAAATATTTACCTTTTTATCTTTGGTTGGACAGTGAAGAAAAATTCCCGGCAAAAAAAAGGACAGTGAAGAATAATTGTTAGTTGGTGGTTGATAAACGATAATTTGCCCATTCAACCGGTCTCACAGAGCTAATCTTTGGCAATGTGTCCTAAGAAATAGCACAAGGTCAGGGCCTTTAACGCCCTAGTCAATATGGGTTGGAGACAAATAATTCGTAGAGAGCAAAGGTCTGGAGTGAGTTAGAGAGGCAGAGAATTAAGTATAAAAGAAAGATATGCTTGAATGTTTCAACATACAAGCCTCTCAAGGGCCATGCAGTTATTCTAAGCCTATGACTTGTAGGTCAGCTCTCAATCCGATGGGTGCAACTCAAATTCTGATTTATCAGTGGCATCTGTTTCCATCCTTCTATTTCAAAGAGTGTTAATGTTCTATTTGTTTTATATCCTTAAGAAGGGGGGGTTCTTTATTTGGTTGCATAAACTTTGCTATGTTTATTACCTTTTTGTCACTCTCATAGACATCTAGAAAATGTAGTGGTACTATTCAACTGCTGCACTTTTTCTTTTTCCCTGGTAACTGCATTTGAAGGCCATTTTTCTTCAAATGAAGAGCACATGCTGTGATCATATTTTGGTTCCAATAAATGAGTGGGAACAAAAATTTGTTATTTCCCCTCTAAAATGTTGTATTTGTGAACAAGGAATGATTTGTTTAGTGTTTACACGGATATTTACAAGAATTATTTTAGACTGCACCTAACAGCCCTTTCTCAGTAGGTTTCCGAGTCATCTCCTCCAAGAATTACATCAAACGTGAAGCAAAACCTGCAATTCCTCAGGTTATGGAAGGTAGGTTACATGCTGTTATGGAATTCATATTACAACCTCCTTTGTGTGTCTCATTTGATGGATATCTGTAGGAGTTCCAAAAAAGAAAGTCTGGTACCCCCAGGCCTTCAACCAGTTATCGCAAAAAGAAGATAGAGAAGGAGGATGTTCCAGAAGATACAGATCTCTACCGTGATCCCACCCTTAACCTCTACTAGTAATACTCTCCCCAGGTTTTCAATCTTGTTTAAGCATTCCTTTTTAATCATTTTAAACTTATTGGAAAAGGTTCACCTTTTGTTTGCTAAATCTTCTGTACAGTACAAACCAGGGCATAGACGATGCAGTCCCTGTATTGCTTGTTGATGGCTATAATGTGTGTGGCTATTGGATGAAACTGAAGAAACATTTTATGAAAGGAAGACTTGATATTGCTCGCCAAAAGCTTATTGATGAGCTTGTGACTTTTAGCATGCTGAGAGGTTTGTACCTTTTCTTCTTAGAATAACATAACGGGATATTGAGTTATACAAGGATCTCTGATGTGAAATATGTTCAATAATAAAGGATGAATTCAATGCTCTTGCTTAAGCTCTCTACATAGAAACATTCTTTTTCTGCTTTCACTTGTGCATGTATGTTAAAACTATCGAACTAGGGTTTGAAGGATGAAGAGTCTCTGTGTGTGTGTGGTGGGGGAGAATAATAGTAGGAAAGGAAGAGGGGTGGAAAACAATCGAAAAAATAACAAGGATATATCATGTCTGGGTTCATTGTCAAATCCTTTTCCTTTCATTTTCTTCCCATCCTCTTTTTAATTCCTAAAGGTTTAACCTTGCATCGAGAAAGAGAGGTTGCTAAACATACATTGCTTTCTCCTATGAATAGTGAGTCTCAATGTTATTTTTAGCGTCAATATTATTGTCTCTGAATCTGCTAAATTAGGCATTTAAAAGATATCAGTGAATGTGAGAATCCATGCCAAAATTTATAAGGTTGCTAATTATGATGCTGAAAAAGTGAGGACATGGGTCCATTGTTTGTCCTTTTGTCCTACATAGGTCCAGCAAATGAGGAAGGCACTGCCTTGATATGTGCAATTAAGTGAAGATATTCCATTGTTCTTCAAGTTAATGTCACAAGCTGCATTATAATTGTATACAAATGCAACATATGGTAACCAACATTTAATTTAAAGGAAAATATTTTGTTCAAAGAGTTGTAGCATTCAGAGAGAATGTTGGCGTTTCTACTTGAGAAAGTTAAATACCTGAGAAATGTCAATTTTCATAATCTTGTGCGCTTTAGTATAATGAAAACTATTGTCCATACCTATTGTTGATACTTCTCTTTGTTACTTGTGAATGTTTACAGAGGTGAAAGTGGTTGTTGTTTTTGATGCAATGTTGTCTGGACTACCTACGCACAAGGAAAATTTTGCTGGGTACAGTTTTGAGGCCTAAAAACATGGTTAAATCTTCAAGTACTTGTTTTTTATATTTGATCCCTAAGTTGCATAATTGCAAAGGATCTTCTTCTATTGGCTTTAATAATATTTTGCATGCATGTGACATGACTTTGTTATGATATCAGCCATTTATATCAAAGTAATGCAACACCTGTTACTACCCCCTCCAACGTAAAAGATGAGGTTTATCTGAATTCAGGAAGACTTTTGCATGTTACAAATTTCACAAGACTTAAAACTCAATAATTCCATTTATTCAGGGCCTTACAGAGGTGTGAAGTTATTTTCTTCAATTATTATCTTCCTCTGAGTCTGATAAAAGTATGTTTGTCTTATGTATATTAAGATTTATAGTTTCGCAAATGTTGCAGTGTGGATGTGGTTTTCTCTGCTGAAACATGTGCTGATACGTGGATTGAGACAGAGGTAACAGAATCTATGGATTTATGGTTTTATTATACTGTTATTTTGAAATTTTTATTCCAAGTTTTATATTAATCTTCTTTGCATATTTAACTTATACTGTCTTGTTGTCTGATTGGGGAATCAAAATAATGATTAATCTGTAAACATGTAAACTATAAAGTCCCATAATGCTAAATAACATGAGTCTTTGAATACGAGGGACTTAATTATTGTCAACTTTTGTATAGGCTTGTGCTTGAACTTGCCCATTTCACCAAAAATAGCTTAAGCTACTCGGTTTGGTTTGCTACAAACTTATATTTGCGTCATTTTTCTTACCATTTTTAGATGTGGGCCTTTTATGAAGAGTTATCTCCATCAATTATATTTTTGGCATTTATTTTTGAAAGTGGTTTAAGAATTAAATGAGGGATTATCCCTATATATCAATTCTACAGCTCAGTTGCATTTCTACAGTCATTTCATGAGCCTTCGGTCATGCTTTAATATTAGTTTCACCGAAGTGATTCATCTTTGCAAATATTGTATGCATGCATGCATTCATTTATTCTTCGATTCTTCTAGGTTGCAGCATTGAAAGAGGACGGATGCCCCAAAGTGTGGGTTGTTTCTTCTGATCATTGTCACCAACAGGCTGCACATGGAGCAGTACGCATCCTTCCCTTAGATTGGAAACTTACATAAAATTGAAGAATAATTATTTGTTGTCAATTGTCTTAGCATTTCTCTTTCAGTTATGTGTAAAGTGCTGTCCTTAAACTAAAAATCTATTGATTTTTCAGAACTTCAAATAATTTTCAGATTTTAAATATGATAATTGACTTTTTGTTCTTTTTATTTTGGTACAAGCTATCATCCCAATATTTAAGCTGCTTCAGCCTCATGCTTTGTTTATTAGTTCAAAAGACTTACATTGTCACGTATTTTACAGGGAGCCTGTGTTTGGAGTTGCAAAGCATTGGTTACTGAGGTAAAACACCAAATGGACAAAAAATATTATCTCATTTCCTTAACAATAAGGGGGGAAAAAAGAGCTATAGAAACATAAAAATTGTAATTTTGTAACATGTGCTCAAGCAGAACTTCTCATATGATATCTTGCAGGAAATTGTGGTTTCCTATCTTTCTAGTAAAATAATCTAAAATTCCTCTGCCCATTTGTAATAGAGGGGCATGGATTCAAATCTGAGATCAGCTTGGCCATTGTTTAGAAGTTTTTATTCATTTTGTGTTTTTGAATGAGAGGTGCTTTGATACTTTAATACTCTTGTTTGTTTGATTTTTTGGTTGGTAGATCAAGGCATCACAAAAGGAGGTTGAAATGATGCTCAAAGAAACAAGGTGTGTGTGACCAATTTTTGATAAATTTAAGAACTACATTGTCGTCTATCGGAGAATGTTGGTTTTATTGTATGTCATTTTAGACTTTCTCAAGTATGGGTTTAACTTGCTACTCTATGGGCTGTCCAACTTCAGTTTAATACTCTAATCCTTTTGTAAGCCAGTAGTGGATTTTGAGCTTTTCGTTGCCCTCCCCCTTGCAAAGAACTCTTTACTTTGTTGTCTGATAATTTTTTTATGGTACTTTTTCTCCTGGTTTGTGTGTTAAGTTTGACAACTGTGCATCTTAACTAACTTGCTTATGGGAAAAAAATCATGTTGAAATATGCATTTTTTGTCACTTATTTCTTGATTTCTTCTAATATCGTTGTATCATATTTCTTTCAGAATATCATCAATATTTCTCCTCAAATTTTACTTGTCGAGGATCACTTTCATGAGTATCTAATTTGTTGTCTCGTGTCTAGGAAATTCGAATAGAGATTCTTATGGAAGCGTGTCTAAAAAAAAGTATAGATGAGATTATTGAAATTATAGTTATAACATGACAATATTTTGCTGATTGATTTGCTGTTTTCTTCATTCAGATCCACTTCTTTTCAAGGTAGACTGTTGAAGCACAATCTTGATGCAGAAGTGGTGGATGCGTTGAAGGACCTCAGGCAAAAGCTATCTCAAGATCAGCCCAAGTAGCTATTCAGGTTATTTTTAGTGTCTTTCATCTTCTCTGAAGAACATCTTACCTTGTATATTTTAGTTATGCACAGAATTTCAAAAATAGATCGCACTGTCCCTGTTCATGAATTATAAGGCCTGTTGCAAGTTTTTTTTTTTTAATCATAGAGTCATAGAGGTGTTATATATAGATTTCAAGTGATGGAGGGTTTCTATTACAGGTCATTCTTGCCCTTAAACTATTCTCACGGGAATACTGGCTATCCTAAACTATTGAGTTTTGCAATGTTATCTTTGAACTTAAGGATAGCCGGAGCTCCTGTGGAAGTAGTTTAAGCAAAGTGCCCTTTACTTCTTCTATTTATAGGGTTATCGAGGTGGCAAGTTGGAATCTGACATTTTGCTGGGATCATGGCCTGAGATAATGATGGGAAAGCAACTTTAAGAGAAGAGTAAAGTAATTTAGTTTTTACATTGCCAGGCTTAAAGCTTTGTTGTTGTGCAATTCATGTAGCCAACTACACCTAAAGAGATGAGGCTTTGTTGTTGTCATTTCATTGCTAGGCGTATTCAGCTTTAATTAAAAAAGAAAAAAACTAAATGCACAAGTCAGTTTTCCAAAAAAAAAAAAAAGGCATTCATAATGCATTAATATGTAATTCGTATACCAAATTCATGATTTATTAGTTATGGAGGAAGGTTATGATTAATGACACATGAAAAAGTGAAGTCCATGGCATACCTTTTTTTTTTTTTTTTTTTAATAATGCATGAGCAAATGGAACGGGATGAGATAGCAAAGGGACTCGAGCTATTATATTTCCAAGCTTTTTTTTCAAATACAGATTTTTGGAAGTTTTTCAAGGAGGGGCCAGTGGCAGAATGGCTTCTTTAGTTACTCAACCGCATCGCTCTCAATGTTTTTGGCCCCAAATTACAAAACAAAGTTTTAGTTATTAATCTCTGTGTTTTGAAAAAAAGTGACAATTAAAATATAATTTTTTTTAAATTATATATTAATTAAAATAAAAAGTTAAAAAATATGAACTAATTCCATGACTTCCAGGGTTGAAGAGGAGAAGCTCTAATTGTTATTGAGTGTGTGACTGAAAGTCCATAGTATTTTACTGTAAAAGGGCAATGGTGAAGTTGAAGAATTGCGAGCTGTAAAATGAAAGTAGACATTGGAAATTAGAAATTTGATATTACTTCCGGTTAAAAGTTGGTTTGATTTTTATTTTGATTTTAAATATAAGATTTTAGTTTACTCTATTTTTCATATTTATTCATTTTTTCCTGAGGTAGTTCTTGTAACAATAATAGTTCTAGTCAATGTACTACCTTCGGTTCTTAATATAAAAACTTATTTAACTTTTATTTTAGTCCTAAATATAAGACATCAATCTATTTTGTTTTTTATATTTATCTATTTTTTCCAATGTAGTCCTTGTAATAATTGTAATTCTAACTAATAAACTTGATTAGTAAGGATATTTAGGAAAGAAAACACCGATTTATTATAAATAACTAACTTAACAAGCTTTTTTAATCTATTCAAATTAGTCAATTAGCTCTTATAAGGATTGTAGGTAGTATTTGATTAACAAAGATATTTTTAAAAATATAATACCTATTTATTACAAATAAGTAATTTAACTAGTTTTATTAATGTATTCAAATTAGTCAACTAACTCTTATATTAAAAATCAGTGGTAATATTCACCAAAAGCAATTAGAAATTTGATTCCTGTCTATTTTAACGATCAACATTAGTTTTTTAATGGAAGAGATAATAAACTTGATCCAAAAAAACTTTCGGTTATCTAATGTTCTTGAGTAAAAACTTTCAGACAAAATTTGTAACTTAATTCAAAAAAAAAAACAAAAAAATTAAGGTTTTTTTTATTTAGTATCAAAACTTATGTCTTAACTAACCTTTAATTTTGCTCCTAAATTCATGACAAAGGAGACAATAATATGATGAAGGCTATTCCCATATGGAACCCACTGAGTTCAAGTTTGGTTTGATATTATTGCTATAATATTATTAATCTTAAATTCAAAATGGCATGAGAATACTATAAGACATAAGTTACCCTGAAAGACAGTTGTTAAAGAAAAAATATTAAGATGATTCCTCAACTATCTTCTTTTCCCCTGTTAGGCCTTCAGGTTTTGGGCTTCTCTTTTGGCAATCCAATATGCAGCTCCCACATTGGGCTACCAACTGGAATCTTAAGTTGTAATTTTTGAGAGTGAGACCCTCATTTCTTTATTTATTTTGTTTTTTTAAAAGAAAAGTATAATAGAAACCAACAATAAGTCAAGTTAAAATAAAATTCCTAACTTATTTCCGACAAAGTAATTGATTTCTAAGTTTTCCACTTTTAATTTCAACTTTATTGTACTATTTTTTTAAAAAAAAAATCACCCACATATTTATACAGTTACATTTACCACTTTTGTTATCCTTAGCCTCTGGTTTACCCCGATCCTAATCCTTTTTAATAATTTAGAGGTTTGATCCCACAACCTCCTCCATTAGAAGAATTGTTGGGTGTCATCTGAGTTGAGTTGCAAAAGCTCTAAACCTTTAGCCTCTCTTTTGTTTTTCCCTATAATTAAATTGAAATAACAATAAGAAACAATTGTGATTACATTAATAAGTCAGTATATTAATAATGATAATAAATATCACATAACATTAATACAAAATTATCATTTGATGTTGTTGATCCAAAAAGGGGAAAAAAGGATCTTAAATTCAGGTGAGTTTGATATGCTTGAGCCTTGAGGATCCTGCGGATTTAAATTTCTTTTTTGGTATAATATCTTTTACTTGCTATATACCAATTAACTATTTTATCTTTTTTACTTAATTTCCACATGAAGCCTGATAAAAAAAGTAGATCAAATAATATAAATCTTTTATAAAAGAATATAAGAAGATCAAAATAATAATTACTGCAATTATTGAATGTGATGTTTTGATTAATAATATGTCTATGATTGTGATTGAAGATAGCATAACTTCATTCTATGATTCATGTAATCCACCAATCTAATGGGATGAAGTTTGTTGTTATATTTACATTTATCCACTAATTGTTATAGTATTAATTAGTTTTCAACCATTTTTTGTAAATTTAAAATTTAAATTTTTAAATATTTAAAACGGGATGAAAATTGAAAATTCAACTCGGTTATGCATGGTCCACTGAGTCTGATCTGACTGAGGAAATTAATTAATTTTAACAAACAATAAATGAGAGACAAGGTCCAAGAAGTCAGAAATAAAGCAGGAAGTTGTGTACTGAAAGTCTGAAACACATAATCCATGATTCAATGAAGGCATTAAATTGGAATTGAATGGCATCACAGAAGAAAGAGCAGTACAGGACACCCTATAATAATTTTGGTCTTTCGACTCACAGATTTCTGTAGTATATTTTGTTGGGTGTTTTTCTTTAATTAAAAAAATTGTACTTCTGCCAAAAAAATTTTATAAGATACGATTAATTGAATCATGTTAGGTTACTAAAAGAACCGGTTAAAATTAGTTAACAATAATAAACATGTCAAAAAAAATAAATACAATAAACAAAACAAATAGCTCGATTTATGGGTTCTAATTCCACTTTCAATTCTTAGCCTCCAGTTTCATTTTCAGTGTATCGCACAGAATCTCTACATCTAACATGTGAAGTGGATACATAAGAAATTTAAAATATTATATTCAGCATCTCAGCCTGAAAATACAATTATGAAGTCTAAAGTACCATAAATTCATAGAAATGGAAAAAGTTCATTGGATAATGAGATATTAGTTCTAAATTATCTTTAACGATGAATTAACAATTCGAAATATTTTTCTTGCCTGTTCCTGATAAATCAGCACTTAGACATAGATATAGAAAAATCTGTTTGGCAACTGATAAGCCCCCTACATAAAAGAGAGAATTTAGATGGTGACTCTGTAATTAAATGGTGACAAAACCTGCCTTAGATTTTAATTATTTAATATAATCATTTTTATGTTTTAAAATTTCAACATTTCTTAGCATTTAGTTACCAAATCACCATGAGTCAATATGTTTTGTCAAATGAGACTTACGGTATTAAAATTAGGGGACTAAAATCAAACTTCATAAATTTATGAGAACAAACTAAAAGTAAGTTCATAGAATCAAATGTATACTTTAGTTTAAAAAGTATTTTGCATATAAAATTAAAAAAAAAAAGGAAGTATTCTGAAAGTATCCACAAGGAAACACTTAGAACTTGAAATTTTTTTTTATATATCCTAAAAGTTTATTTTCATAGCAAATATACCGTGACCGTTATTCACACCAAAGTTTGGCTGTTGAATTATGTGGATTGACTCGTGTATTTAACGGTCACACTTAACAGTTGATTACGGTTTAGAGTAAAAATACTACAAAATAAAACTTTCCGAGTGTGTTAGAGCCAAAAAAATTTCAAGTGCCAGGTGTTCCTTTTTGGATACTTTCAGATATTATATTTAAGGACCTTAACCTTAAAAAATATGTTTAAACTATTTTTTAATAAAATTTTTATTCATTTATGAATCCATCTTATTTCATTATATCAATTTCTTTTGAAATAAAAATAAAAATATGAGATTTTATTTGAATGATGAAGGGTTTGGATAGAGTGAGTTTATTGCAGCGACCCACCAAAGCGGGAATGAGGAGGATGAAGTGGGGAATGGATGGGGTGGAGGAAGACATAAGAACAGAGGAGTCAGAGTCAGAGTCACAAAGTTGTCAGTGTTTTTGTCCAAATAAAGGAGACTGACTTTGTAAGAAACTCACGAGATGCTTGCTTCCTTCTTTATGTAGTGTTCCTATGTGTACACAAACTTGGTACTTCTCCAATTCTCCCTTCACATACTTCACCCCCTCACATTAATTATTGCCATTTCAAATTTTTTTAGTCTACTAATAAAATAAAAGTAAATTAAATGATCTTTTTTCACATATTTATGTAAGCTATGTACTTGTCCAACCCTAAATATAGAATTTTTTTAAAAAAATACGTATTATTTTTTTAGAAATATTTTCTTTAATTATTTGCAATGAAACTATATCTTTTATTGGAAAACACTTTGACATATATAATTAATATGTATAATTTGATAAAATCATATACATTTAGGAAAAAAAGTGAATTATGTTTTTATATTTAGAATTAAAGTAAACCTGCTAACACTTAACCGGGAAAAAAGAAAAAAAGAAAGAAAGAAAGAGTGCATAACAAACAATATAAATTTTATCTAAGCAGATAATTTGCATGCAATTAATTATTCTATATTTCATTATATTAAATTTATCAAACAATCTTAAAATTATATGTATGGCTTACTGATATAATGGGTGAGCCTTAGTTTCTTAAGAAATGTCAGATTTTTTTTCGGTGGAGAGATTAATAAATGCAAAGACAGAGGTCAACAAATTAGGTAAGTGGTCAGAAGGTCAAATAGCGAGGGTGCCCACTTTTTTGATTTGAAAATCCAAGCTCATTCAATATGTAGGGTTCCATTTGTGTGATGATCCTTATTTGAACAATTATGAATGAATTCATGACTTCCTTATTTTGAATTATTCGTTTCATATGACAATGAAGACATAATATTTTTGTAATTGACTTTTCAAAAATAGAAGTGCTCTTCTCTCAATTCACTTTTTTTTTGTTGGCAAAAGAAATCATTTTTTTTGT